TTCGCACCCGAGCTGGTGGCGATCGAAGAGCATTGATGCTTGGAGTTTGAGAACCGTTTGAGGCCCAAGATCTTGATAAAGATAATGGGCAACATGTTTATGGAGTATGATAGGCTTATTGAAGTCACAGTTCATGTGGAGATCATGTTGGAGGTCGAAGAGTCTAGGCAGAAACACAAGAGGTCAGTGTATGTGGAGCCTCGAGTGGACACAAGGTCATCCAAGAGGTCGAGGGGTTCTTCTTCTTCCTTTCAATCTTTGCCACAACAGACCAAGTCTTCAGGGTCTATTTCTATAAGGATTTCAGGAAATATGGGTGTGAGTCGTATCACTTGTTTTAAATGTGGCCAATAAGGTCACAAGGCTTCTAAGTGTAGACAGAGTTTAGGTCAGCAATAATCGGCTCGTTCTTAAAGCTAATGTCAAGGGAGGGGTGTAGACGCGCCCCGAGGGCCTCATGCCTACAGTTCGGACTCAAATGTCACGGTTCTGAATCTAGTCTCGCAAAATGCAATGCAAGACCGATAAATCACCAAAGAGTCCAAATCCGGCAAATCCTTTTGGAAAATTGATTTTTGTAAAGAAGTGCCAAACATGGACTGCTTTACCAGATACAGAGTCGCCACCTAAATATTTTATTTTGGGAGAATTTAGGAAACCCTGACTCGTGTCTAAGGCCACGTGTCCATCATCACCAAAGTTGCCTCGGCTCGGGAACTTAGGTACGATTGGGGAAGGTCATCTATGAGCACCACCACTCGCCCGATCAAAGATCGGCCTGTACTAAACATGATATCTTGTTATGTGATGTGCACAACACACAAGTATAGACTAGATCGCCTAATTTGGAACAAAGCATCGCATATCCGTTTGTTTGGAAAATGGTTTGAAGTTTGCTACTCGTAAGTAGGCTAAAATGCGGATTTCAATGAATCATTCCAATTCAAGTAATCCAACCTTCACCCACAGGCTTTTAGGCAGTTATATCAACTAAGCAAATAGCCTCATGGCAAGCACGCTATCATGGCAATCAATGACACACATGTAGTATGCTAAAGCATAAAAGCTTACCTAGTACTCTGAGCCAAAACAGAAACTAGTTAGTAATCAAATGCATGATCCTAGCTATGTTGAGATGGATAATGCAATGCATGCAAAATACGACTAGAAATAGGCTCGGCTATTCTAAAATGGCATATAAGATGCAGCAATTGATACATGTATTCAACTTGGAATTGAAATACGATACAGTTAGTATGATGCGCCGAGCCCGGTGCGTGCAAGATAGATGAATGGATGCAAACATGCAGGCATAAGTATGCTAGACAAATGAATGGATGCAAACATGCAAAGCATAAGTATGCTAATTGAAAAATGACCTAAAACTAACCAACAAAAGCGGGTAAGTAAAAGGGAGAAAGATGTGGGGTTGGAAGACATGCACACACGCACGCACACTTATTACAAAATTGGCCCTCTCGACGGAGGGTCCGAATAAATAATACATGCTGACTAATTAACTAACTAACAAGTTAATTAATTATTACATGACCGAATTGAATAACTAGCTACAACTAATTATTACAAAACTTAATTAATTAAGAAATTAATTAATTACAAAATGAGAAAGCAACAAATAAAGCTATTCCAGCTCTGTTCATAGAAGTAGAAGGGTATGCATGTTCGCATTCGGTTTCTCGCCTCGAAACGCCCTCTGGTTGCTCTTTAGAGGCTCTGTCTGCAGGGTGTCTTCAAGGAATTCCTGCTAAACCTTACCAAAAACATGCTGGGGAGTGCATCAGCAGCCTGCCGGCCAGGGGGAGCCACTGCCGACCAAAAATGAAGGGATGCCGGCCAACAACAAGGCACTGCCGGCCACTGATGTGCTAGGACACCAAGCTGCAGTAGAGCACAAAACAGAGAAAATAGAGGGTCTCCCAAGGGTATGTATGCACTATGCCACCCCATATCATCTCAAAACATCAAGGGAGAGGCATAGTCGGATCTACGACCATCAATCATGCATCCCGATGCATTATGGCCAAAGATCCAACTTGTGCAAATCAATATGAAATGAATGCACAAATAAACATATAAATGCCTAGAACTCTATCATGGATAATCAAGAGCCTCGGCGACCGAGAATTGAGACACGTTTCATCACTTGAAGTATGAAACGCCCCTCGTTCCTCGTGCTCGGATTAACACTTTAATCCAAACGACAATGCAAAGCAAGCATGGCAAACATGCAATATGACTATATGGCATACTCGATGCTAACTTGAACATGCAATCATGCAATATGACTTAAGCATGCAAAATGCAGTGTGATAAACATGCAACAACATGTAATGGAACTAGCATGCGACAACATGCAAAGACGGAGCAAGCATACAACAATATGCAAGACAAGCATGCAACAACATGCAAGGATGGTCTTAAACCAATATGGGTAGCCCTCAACTATGCCCAAATTAGTGGCCATAAAGTGCTAAATCGATGGTACAAAATGCTAGACAAGCATGCATGCCAATGGGCCCAAGAATTAAGGCATAAAGATACAACTCTTAAACACACTTGAGGAGTGAAAAGCATGCAAGTATGACAATACTACATGCTCTGAAATGATGTTAGGAATGATGCCAAATCACACATATAACACAAGCATGGCATGCGTGAAGCTCAAAAGCTAAGAACTAGCAAAGGGACTTAAGCCATGGCCATGCAAGGCAAGCCCCAAAGGGCTAAGGGAACCTAAAACAGTCCCAAGGCAGGTCTAAACAAGACCAAAAACAAGCTCGAAGCTAGCCAACACAAGCTAGAACACCAGGCCAAAAACATGGGGCATGCAAGGCTATAAAAGAGGCAATGCACTACACCTATTAAAACCAAACATGGCATGACTTGGACAGCATAAAACAGAGTTACATCATGGTATAACAAGACCAAAAATGCACTGATATGATGAGCCTAAGGCTTAGGCTTAATGGCATGCACAATGATCCATTCATGAGGCATAAAGAGCCAAGGCTCTAAGGCATTAAAAGCATGTCAAATGCAAGTGTATGGCCACATTTCATGGACTGAAACAACATTTAGAATGATGGCAAAGCATACAAACATCACATGTATGGCATGGTAGGGGCCTCAAAACCCAAGGCTAGCCTAAGCATTTGTGTTATAGCTATACAAAGCATGAGTGATATGGCCATGGCAGCCCAAAACAGTGTTAAAACACCTCAAAATAAGAACAAAATCATGCTGGAGCAAAGCTAAAATATGCTAGGATGATGAGTTAAAGCATCATGCACATAAAGTTAGTAAGCAAGATTTGTTCTACAAGTATATGGAGCATGCAAAATACGACCAAACCAGCAAAAGATAGAGTCATGACATGCCAAAAAAATGACCAAATATATGCTGAAATGGACTCAACATAAGCTAGGATGACATGCTAAAGTAAGAAGCATATAACGCTAGTTTATGAGATTTACACTACAAGTGTATTGCACATGCATGGAGTGACAAAACCAACCCAAAAAAGATCTAAGGCACGGTAAAACATCACCAAAAACCTACTGAAATAGACTCAACACAAGCTAGGCAAACATGCTACTTTGATGAGCTACAAATGGGATTACACTACACATACAAGATGCATGCAAAAGGTGACCAAAACAGCCATGGACAGAGCTAAGGCAGGTCCTAAAAGTCAAAAAAAAGGGCCTGAACCAAGCCTCAAAAGTACAGAGGGGCATGCTCCTTTGGAAGGCCAAAAATGCAAGCAAACAAAAACCAAAAGAGAGGGGGCCACCCCCTCTGATTTGAGGCCTCAAAACCACATGCCTACCACTAAAAATCTACTGGATTTCAGTGGTTAAAAGGACAAACCAAGGCTAGCTCGGAGGCCTTAAGGCATGGCTCAAAACAAGGCCAAACAAGGCCAACAAGAGGGTTGAAGACCCCCAATAGCCAAAAGACCTTAAACAAACTTCAAAAGAACTTAAATACAAGACTTTTTTCAGTGAAAATCAAGGCCTAAAACAATATGCAAGGTAGCCAAAATGAGGTACAATCGAAACCAGCAACTTGAGAGGGGGTAAAACCTCACTTTCATAGCTCAAGAAGTCCTCCCAAGAACCTCAACCCAAAGATGGTGGTGTATCTCTATGTGTTGTAGTGTAAAAGTGCAAGGAAAATAGACTTCAAGGCACAAATGAACAACAATATATATATATATAGAGAGAGAGAGAGAGAGAGAGATATTTCTTCTCAAAAATGCTGAACCTCTGCTAAGGAGAGAGGCTCTCTCCTTATATAGAAGAAAAGCAATGCAAAACTTCTTCAAGAAGCTTGGCAAGAGCTTCATCCCTCCATACACGTGTATGGAGGGCAGATAAAAGGATTCCAGCTGGCTCAAAAGATCTGGAGTGAAACCTGATGAGACAGGGGTGCTGCCGGCCATCAGGGATGGCCGGCAATGGCTCATTGATGGCCGACAGGCTCAATCAATGGCCGGCAGCAACAAAGTAGGGGCCGACAGGGCCAAAAGGTGGCTGGCAATGCACCAAGAAACACATTCTGAAAGGACCAAGTCATGGTCCAAGAATAGGGCAGAAAAGATACAAGGTTTGGAAGGCTCGAACCTGTGACGTTCCACTGCAAAATTCGAATACCCGACGAGCAATCGAACTTGTGTCCGGATGTACCTGCAAGCACAACCGAGTCTTGAGGACGGTCAAAAATGGGGTGTCTACAAGAGGTCAATCGCCCACGTGTTATTATTGCGAACAGTTGGGGTATATGAAGAGATCTTTCCCTCAATTAGTCGGGATGGTTGGAGCTTCAAGGTCCCGATAGGTAGGAGATTATCAAGTAGACCAGAGTTAGAGGCCGGCTCATCAGCCAGCTTAGTCTGGACAAGTATCGAGATCGGTGCATGGGGCCAACTTATGTTTAGTGGGGTGATCAGATAGAGTAGGGACCATAGGGGCGAGTTTATGCCATCACTTCATCCGTGCAGTCATTTGGACATAGATACCAGTGCATCTCCCTCATTCATAGCATCTACATTTGCATCCATTTTGGGGTCAGAAAGTGAGCAACTAGAGTTTCTACTTATGGTAGAGTCACCTATTAGGGGTAAGGCTATTTTGAATAGGGGATGTTGTGGGTGTGTGATTGAAGTTGCTGATTGCCATCTTCCTTTTAGCTTCGTGTTATTAGATATGTCAGGTTTTGATGTCATCCTCGGTATGGATTGGTTATCCTTCTACTGTGCCATTATAAACTGTTATCGTAGAAGAGTTATTGTGTGCATATTAGGTGGCGATTGCTTCTCGTTTCAGGGGGATAGAACTGATAGATTGTTACCGCCATTGTATGACCCACGTGGTCGAGGCGAACTTAGTTTCCTTCTCGTAGCTTTCATAGATGATGGGAGTAACATAGTTCGGGGTGCATTTCCTAGAGTGGTTTACGATTACATAGATGTCTTTATAAAAGATCTCATTGAATTGTCACCTCACCGTGAGGTCGAGTTTTCCATAGGCTTGGTGCTTGGTACGACACCCATCTTCATGTCACCCAATAGATTTGCGCCAGCAGAATTGCTTGTCTTGAAGGAGTAGTTACAAGAGTTATAAGACAAGGACTTTATATGCCCTAGTACTTCGCCATGGAGAGTACCGGCTCTCTTTGCCAAAAAGAATGATGATTCCTTGCGGTTGTGTATTGACTACCACAAATTGAATAGGGTCACCGTTAAGAACAAATAACCATTACCTAGAATAGATGACATTTCCGATCAACTCAAGGGTTCTTGCTATTTCTCTAAGATAGACCTAAGGTCGGGTTATCATCAGTTGCGTGTGAAAGAGGAGGATATACTGAAGACGGCCTTTCGTACATGATATGGCCACTATGAGTTCCTTGTGATGTCGTTTGGTTTGACCAACACCCCTGCCACTTTCATGGACTTGATGAACCAGTTCTTCCGAGAGTATCTCGACAAATTTGTAATGGTTTTTGTAGATGATATCCTTATTTATTCACCTTCCGAGGAGGAGTATAAGGGATATCTCCATATTGTCTTGCAGTTTCTTAAGGAACACCGACTGTATGCTAAGTATGAGAAATGTGAGTTTTGGCTTTCCGAGGTAAAGTTTTTGGGTCATATTGTTTCCAGGGACGAGGTCACTGTTGACGCTTCGAAAATTAAGGTCGTGCAAAATTGGAAACGACCTAAGAACACCTTTGAGATTTGTAACATTTTGGGTCTTGCTGGGTATTATCGACAGTTTGTGAAAGACTTTTCCATCGTAGCATCGCCATTAACTAAGTTAACCTGAAAAGGGGTAAAGTTTGTTTGGAGTGAGTCCTATGAGAAATCCTTCTTGGAGTTTAAAACTAGATTAATTGCGGTGCCAATTCTAATCATTCCAGAGAGAGGGTTGGATTACACCATGTATTGTGATGCTTCCAAGGAAGGTTTGGGGTGTGTCTTAATGCAAGAGGGTAAAGTTGTGGCGTATGGTTCGCGTTAGTTAAAGACTCATGAAAGAAACTATCCAACTCACGACTTAGAGTTAGCTGTGGTCATCTTTGCTCTAAAACTTTGGATGCACTATCTATACAAGGAGAAATTAACGTGTTTTCGGATCATAAAAGCCTTAAGTACCTATTTTCTCAAAAAGATTTGAACCTACAGCAAAGGAGGTGGATGGAGTTCATGGAATATCATGACTTTGATTTGAATTATTATCTAGGAAAGGCCAATGTGGTGGTCTATGCTTTGAATAGAAAATCTGTGAGCACCGTTGCTAGTCTTGCCATGAAAGAATGGGAGATGTTGGGTGACCTGGGCTAGTTTGACTTACACCTTAGCGAGTCCCCGGAACATGCTACCTTGTTTACTATCCTTGCACAACCAACGCTCATAACACGAGTCATAAAAGCACAATAGAGTGATCTAGAGGCGGAGGTAATCTGAGGGAAAATATCTCAAGAAAAGTAAGAGAAGGGTTTGGGGGTACATTCTGATGCTAGTGTTCAATATCTAGATCGTTTCTTTGTGCCATAAACTTGTAGAGACGAAGTCCTTCGGGAATTTCACCATTTACGCCTTGCGGTGCATCCAGAAGGCACAAAATGTATCGTGATCTTAGCCGTCAGTTTTGGTGGAGAGGTATAAAGCGAGATGTGGCATTGTTTTTGTCTAAGTGTCTAACCTACCAACAAGTCAAAGCAGAACACCAAAAGCTATCCAGGTTATTGCAACCCTTACCTATAGCTGACCGGAAATGGAAGCACATTACTGTGGACTTTGTTTCAGGCCTTTCTAGAGCTTAGATGGGTAACGATGTGGTTTGGGTAGTTGTGGATCAACTAAGTTGGCCCATTTTCTTGCTATATGTATGGGGGATTCGGTGGATTTCTTAACTAATCTTTATGTTTGAGAGATTGTCCAACTTCACGGGGTTCTGGTGAGCATTATCTCATATAGAGACCCTCATTTTACCGCACGGTTGTAGCAGAGTTTGCAAAATGCTATGGGTACTTAATTGACCTTTAGCACCGCCTATCATCCTCAAACTGACGGGAAGTCTGAGCGCGCCATCCAAATTCTAGAAGACATGTTGAGAGCTTGCGTGTTAGACTTCAAGGGTTCTTGGGAGAGGCATTTGCCTTTAGCAAAGTTTGCCTACAATAATAGTTATCAAGCTAGCATTAGGATGGCACCTTTTAAAGCTTTGTATGGGCATCCATGTAGATCACAGGTGTATTGGACTGAGGTGGGGGATTCACCCATGCTTGGACCCCGAGTTAGTTTGTGAGACCATTGAAAAAGTGATTCTTATTCAGGAGAGGTTGATCATGGCTCAAAGCCGACAAAAGAGTTATGTCGACCGGAAATGAAGACATTTATCCTTTGAAGTGGGTGATAATGGGTTTTTGAAGATATCACCTAGGAAGGGTTTGATGAGATTTGGGCGAAGTGGGAAATTGTCCCCTAGGTTCATTGGTCTATTTGACATTATAGAATGAGTGGGAGAGGTAGCCTATCATCTCGTCTTACCACCATAACTATCTAGGGTACACGATGTGTTTCACGTTTCAATGCTTCGTAAGTATGAACCTGATCCTTCTCATGTTTTGTTTTGTGCTTGGTTGTGGACCAAGAGCTTGTGGCTTTGTTTTTTAAGGAAATGAGGGGTCTGCTGGCCAGCCCTATAACCCATTGGCCAGGTCCTGTGCCCATCGGCCATGCCCTCTTTCCATCGGCCATCAGTGTTGGCCGGTCGGCCTCACTGATGGCCGAGGCCTTTTTCTTTACTTTTGCAGATATTTTGTTGCCAGCTAAGCACAGAAAGCATCCTCCATACACGTGTATGGAGGGATTGTAACAAGCTCTTAGCTTGTCAAACAAGCTTGAAGCTTGTGATTCTATATAAGGGGAGGCTCCTCTCCCCTTTCAGAGGTTCAGAAAATTTGGATTAGGGTTAACATATCCCTCTCTCTCTATATTTCTCCCCCTCTCTCTCTATTTTTTCACTATATTTGAACCAAAAGTGTCATTTCTTCACACTTTTGCACACAAACACCTACTCAAACACCTTCACTCTTGAGTTGAGGTTATTGGAGGTTGCATTTGAGTGATTTTGGCCTGGTTTAGCCTCATAGGTTGCTAACTTGCTGTTGTTCTTCAAGGGTCTTCAAGGGTAAACATATACCCCTTTTAAGCTTTCTTTTGATTAATAGCTTAACCACCTTTGCATGCTACTTTAAGGCTGGTTTTAGCCTCTTTAAAACTCTGTTTTTAAGGCTTTGAAATGTGGGTTTGAGTCCTGTTTGGTTAGGGGATGTTTCCCCTCTTTTGCTCTATGGCTTGTAAAGCCACTTGAGCCACCATTCTTAGCCTTTGTTGTGACCTTTGTTTGGCCATTCTACCACTGAAACTACCACTAAAACTCAGAGGAATTTCAGTGGTAGAAAGTTGGTTTTCTGGCTCAAAATGAGAGGGGGTGGTCCCCTCTCTTTATGTCTTGTTTGTATGCATAGAGGGCCTATCAAGTGAGCATGTATTTCTATACTCTTAAGGCTTAGTTTGAGCATGTTTTTGTGAGTTTTTGGACCTGGTATAACTCTGTTTTTGGTTGGTTTGGTTGTCTCTTGAATGCTTCATACACTTCTAGTGTAATTTTATTTGCTAGCCTAACATGCTCTATGCTTTGGACCATCATTTTAGTCTTTTTTTGACTACACTCCAGCATGCTTTTTGCCATGATTGCACATGCTTCAGGTCTGAATTGGGTGGTCTTGATCATGTATGCTTTGCTTTGTATAGCCATAGTGTAAAGCCCCTCCACTAGCTTTGTGTTTTGGGTCCACTAGCATGCATTGCTTGGGCAATTTACATGATACAACATCATTTGATATATGATTTCAGAGCATGTTTCAATGTCATACCCTCATGTGTGTTACTCTTTCAATGCTTTGGAGGGTTATGCTTTATGCCTTAATCATGAGCCAATTTGCATGCATGCTTGTCTAAGCTCTTGGGTTTCATGTTAGCATGTTCTTGGCCCTTAACTTGGCATGTTTGAGCTCTGTCCAGAGCTGGTTTGTCTAGTTGTGCTATGTATTGCATGCCTCTTGTATGATGCTCTTAACTAGACTTATGCTCTAGACCCCCTAACATGCCTTGTTTGTGTTATTTGTGTGATTTGGCATCATCAAACACTTGATTTCAGAGCATATAGCATTGCCATATTCTCATACATATCACTCTTTGATTGCATTTAAGAGTTATGCCTTTATGCCTTGCTTGCGAGCCATAAGTTGAGTATTCATTCCTTGCTTTTCGTGTCTAAGTTTTGTTGAGTTTTGGCCACTGTCTTGGCATGCATGATCTCTGTCTGGGGATGGTTTGACCATTTGAGCATTGTAGTACATGCTTCATGTGTGATACACTTCACTTGCCTCGATGCCTTAACTCCTAAACATGCCATGCATGCATTGTTTGCATGTTAAGAGTCTTATGCATACCACCTTAACATGTTAAGATTAGCATGTGATTTGCATAACATGTTGTTTGCATGTGTGTTGCATTGTATTGTGTTGGAATCGGATGTTGATCCAAACACGAGGAACGAGGGACATTTCATACTCAAAATGATGAAACGCGCCTCATTCCTTAGGTCAACGACACCTTTGATCATGTATGATAAGGTGGAGGTTCATCGAGTCCTATGTGTTATTTGTGCATTTATCAACATTGTGCAAGCTTGACTCTTTGGCCATTATGCATCGAGATGCATGATTGGTTCCTTGAGAGCCAAGCACTACATTCCTTTGAGCTTGAGACATGATAAGGAGTGTGGTTGCACACACATTTCCTTGCAAATACACTGCCATGCCTCTGCTTGTGCTCTGCTGCAGCAAAAGGAGAAATTACAGGAAGCAGTGGATGACCGGCCATCAAAGTTGCTGACCGACCACCAAGTTTGCCGATCGGCTATCAAAAGTGGCCGATGGCCACCATTTTTGGCCGATCACCCCTCAGTATGTTCCCGAGGTGGGTTAACAACAATCTGGAAGTTGGCACAAGTTTCAGAAGTCCAATAGAGTG